GTCAAAGTTGAATCACTTTTCTCCTTGTTTTTCGTCGTGTGGAAAAAAATTCGGAATTTTGAAAACTCTTTTAGCTCATAAATTTTCGCTAATCGCAGAGAAAAAAATCTGACGAATCCAACACCAGATTCCGGCGCCGGAGCGCCGGTAAACAGTCAGGGTCGTTTAGTATTTAGATGATCTCCCGCGGAAATACTTAGATTAGATTTCGATTTTTTTCAAAGGGTTTTGATTTCCGTGGGAAGGGTTTTTGTGCCCTTGATTTTGTTCGTTCGTCCCCATCGGAATTTTTATTTTTTATTTTCTGGGGATAAGCGACAATGTCTAAGGTTGTGTACGAAGGATGGATGGTTAGGTATGGAAGAAGGAAGATCGGACGATCGTATATTCATATGAGGTATTTCGTGTTGGAACCTCGTCTTTTGGCTTACTACAAGAAGAAACCTCAGGATTATCAGGTGAAAATTTCATGGGAAAAAAAACGAATTTGCTTACGTTTTTTTTTTTTTGAGTATGTGTTTCTGTCGTTTTCAATTTTTCCCCTTTTGGGGTTTTGTTTATCTTTCTGGATTTGAACCTAAGAGGAGATTTTGAGGCTGTTTTAGTGGAAATTCCTATTATGTTTGTGAGATATTATAGTGGACTGAAGTGTTGATGCAAAAGGAGAATGGTTTTACTTGTAAGAGGGTTAGCTGAAATGATGTTTTTTTACATGTGAATAAATAGGTTCCTATCAAGACTATGTTAATTGATGGCAACTGCAGAGTTGAGGATCGAGGTTTGAAGACACATCATGGACATGTGAGTCTTATTTTTACCCTTTCTGTTACTATGGTGTTTACTCCAGGTACTTATAGATGTGTATGTGATGAGTAGGATAAGAAGACTCTCTAGGAAGTAGGAGTGGCTGCTTGGTAGAGAAATATGTTCTTAGTTATGAGGAATATCTTTCTGAGCTAAGTAACTGAGTAAAATACTTGGCCAACTAGTTTTGGTTAGAGAATGTGCTCCAAGTCTCTTGAGAACACATATATGTAAACTATAAAGATTCCTCGTAGCTTTCCACAACAGTTTAAATCTCTTTCCGCAGGACACAGACATTTGATAATATTTGTTGTGAATCAATTGATGGTTTTCACATGCCAAGTTAATTTGCTCTTATCATAACTTTGACTGTACTATCACTGATACTTTTTACAATTTCTTTTGTGCTTGCCAACTCTATTCTGCAGATGGTTTACGTGTTGTCTGTCTATAACAAGAAAGAAAAGCACCATAGAATAACGGTATCTTGTTTTTACTTTCAAAAATAGTTTACAATAGCTTTAGCTTGTTACTTGGCAATTTCTAGCTTCTCTATAGTTAATATGAAGTAGTAAATTCTTGCTAGATGGCAGCGTTCAACATCCAGGAAGCACTAATGTGGAAGGAGAAAATCGAGTCTGTTATAGACCAGGTTTGTCATATGCCTGCCAACTCCCAAATCACAAAATTTCCTGCCCTTCGTTATTTCTTTCGTATTCACTGTTTAAACTTGTGTAGATTGGTGTTTTATCTGATTACCTCACTGTGTTTTTCACTGGTGCAGCATCAAGAGTCCCAAGTTCCAAATGGTCAGCAATATGTTTCATTTGAATATAAGTCTGGAATGGATACAGGAAGGACTGCTTCATCTTCAGATCATGAAAGCCAGTGAGTGCCTATCTGATGGATGTGATTTCTTTATCTCTGCTGGTTCAGGAGAAACTTTTAGAATTTTTCCAAGATTACTAACTTATGGAATAATTCTCTGATTACTAACTTCATTCATAAACTTGGCCTGCTTGATGGATGACCATCCATTTTGTTCCAAATAAGTGGTGTGTGGCGATCATGATTATAAAATAAACTTTAAGAAGTGTTACCATGTTAGATAAGAGAATTAGGAAGAAACTATCAATCCTAATCTGAGTATTCACTTTTTACAAATCGGCTGCCTCGGTTTCGAGTCGCTATAAGTATGTTACAAATGCTGGAAGATGCTAGCTGAATGTTGGGAGTGACTAATATCATTTCAGATATCTCTCCTGTCGATGTTTTTTCACTATTGTGTTTATCTTTTTTACTATAATATGCATATAGTTATGGATAAAATATCTGCAATTTTCTTCAGGTTCAGTGCACCAGAAGATGAGGATAACCCTCGACGTAGTCTAATGAGAAGGACAACTATTGGAAATGGTGCTTTTTAAATTCATTTATTCATGAGCTAATCTGCAATCCTAGTTGTAATCTAATCACCTCAAACAAATGTGCAGGTCCTCCAGAAGCTGTACTTGACTGGACTAAGGAGTTTGATGCAGAGTTGGCGAACCAGAATTCTGATAACCAAGCTTTCTCGAGAAAACACTGGCGTCTCCTTCAGTGCCAAAATGGTTAGTGGTTTTGCAGGGCAGAACATGCGGCTACTTCTGCAATGCAACATAGTTTACTAGTTGTCTGCTATAGGAACTGAAATATTGCTTTGTAGGAAAGAGCTAGAATATGGCCTTAATCTTCTTTGTTTTTATTTTCTATATGTTTGACAGGTCTTCGGATTTTTGAAGAGCTTCTTGAAGTTGATTACCTTGTATGGAAGTTTCTAGTAATTTGTTATTTTATTTCCTGATTTCCTTTTTGATTACATAGTAATTTTATCTAGACAAGAACCATCATTTATATTGCTACACGTGCAGCCAAGAAGCTGCAGCAGGGCAATGAAAGCTGTTGGTGTAGTGGAGGCAACATGTGAGGAAGTATTCGAACTTGTGATGAGCATGGATGGCACTCGTTATGAGTAGGTGTTTCTCTGTCTTCTGTTTTTCCATTCAGTTTCCATTTGTAGGAAATGGTCTGTACGAAAATATATTTGTACTTCTTTGCATTCTGTTACTAGTGTAGGCTTGTAGCGTATATTTTTGTTTTTTTCGTTTGCAAAATAATGTCTCTTGCCAAAGATTTATATCTGTATAGTATGCATCCAGAAGTGTTTTGTTCTACTGTTCTAGTCTGCATCCGAATTTATTTATGTTCCTCTTTTCTCCTGTTTGATGCAGGTGGGACTGCAGCTTTCAGTATGGTAGCTTAGTGGAAGAGGTGGATGGTCACACAGCAGTGCTCTATCACAGACTTTTGCTCGACTGGTTTCCAATGTAATGTTGCACCAGAAAAAGTATCGTATAGTTTGCACTCAACCTTTTAATGAATAGCTGAGAAGTGATAATTTTCTTCCAACTGAATTAGATTTTATCGCTACATCCTTTGACTCTATTGCCCTGAAGNGCCTAGGTTGTATGCAGACAATGTCTTTCATTTAGTCTACCATGTTTAAAAGACTGGTTATAGGAGAAACAGTTCCGGATTACTATGATTGTTGTTATTTTTGATCAAATTAATTTGTTGTTTTCATAAGTATTCTTTTATCTAAATTGTTATACCAAATGGCTCCAGGGTTGTGTGGCCTCGTGACCTCTGTTATGTCCGCTATTGGCGCCGTAATGATGATGGGAGTTATGGTAAATTCCTTTCCTCTTTTCTCATGCTATAATCTGGAAAGGTAGTTTATATAGCTTGTTGGTTATTTATCTCGCTCTTTCTGTGAAGTTGTGTTGTTCCGTTCTAGGGAGCATGAGAATTGTGGTCCACAACCTGGATGTGTTCGGGCTCATCTTGAGAGTAAGTTTAGGAAACTAATTGTTCCTAAGCGCTTTATAAAAATCTTCTAATCTTTGATGTAATACTATCTAACCTGAGCTATTTTTTGTTTATCTTAGGTGGAGGATATAATATTTCCCCACTAAAGCCCCGAAATGGGAGGCCTAGAACACAAGTGCAACATCTAATACAAATTGATCTAAAAGGGTGGGGTGCAGGCTATCTTCCAGCATTTCAACAACATTGTCTTCTTCAAATGCTGAATAGTGTTGCTGGTAAGTTCTTTCATGATTCCTTTCTGCTGTTCTCTTCAGTCCTTGCAGAAAAGGAATTTTGCTGGTATTTAATATCCTTAGTAGTAATCCATGGTGCGGTGCTCATCACAGGTTTGCGGGAATGGTTTTCACAGACAGATGAGAGAGGTGTTCCTACCCGGATCCCTGTCATGGTTAATATGGCATCATCTTCCTTGAGCTTGAGTAAGAGTGGAAAGTCTCTGCATCGGTCTGCCTTTTCTATTGATCAAAACAATTCTACCCACAGAAACTCTGTGCTCATGGATGAAGACTCAGATGATGATGATGAATTTCAGATCGCTGAATCAGAACAAGAGGTTTGAATATCGAGCATTTTGATATTAAAATCTTAAACCGCATCTGAAATTGAATATTCATACGTGTGTACTATTTCAGCCTGAAACAAGTAACGCAGAGACCGATGTCAAGAGAACAACAGGTGAGCACCCTCTCATTATGTGTGAAAATGCTACTTGAGCCTGTTAGGATATCTATAGTGATGATTTCTTGTGCGGTTTGAAATTTCAGAAGAAGAACCTGCTCATAACATTGATCTTTCATGCTTCTCGGGTAATCTAAAGCGCAATGACAATGAAAATGCCCGTAACTGCTGGAGAACTTCTGACGGGAACAACTTCAAAGTTCGTGGCAAGAGTTTCTGTGACGATAAAAGAAAGGTCAGTAAAACTTTTGTATAGTTTAGAATGGTTGGGTTCTTACATCCGGCTAACTTCTGTTCCTGTCCATTTAATGCTCTACTGAAGATTCCTGCTGGGAAGCATCTAATGGATCTTGTTGCTGTCGATTGGTTCAAAGACAGTAAAAGAATAGATCATGTCTCTAGACGTAAAGGCTGTGCAGCACAAGTAAGATATATTCCACCTAAACTTTTGTTCGTTAATTTCCTTCTCTAGTTACCTAAAAGATAGATTATTCCACTAAGTTCTTCCCATGCCTATTCTCTAGCTTGAGGATTCATCTTAATCAATTAGAAAGCTCCACAAAAGACCATTAACCCTTTGGATAATCATGTTTCAGGTTGCTGCAGAGAAAGGTCTATTCTCTATGGTGGTAAATGTTCAAGTATGTTTTACCCATCAAACTATTATTAAGTTTCTAAACATAATGTACAACCCACAAAGTCATATTTATGTATGATCTAAAAACGATATTTTTTATAGGTTCCTGGATCAACACACTACAGTATGGTGTTTTATTTTGTGATGAAAGAACTCGTACCAGGCTCCCTCTTGCAACGATTTGTCGATGGTGATGATGAATTCCGGAATAGTAGGCTAAAGCTTGTACCTTTAGTTCCTAAGGTATGTTTATCTCTCTTTCTCTTTGTGATTATTACTACTGCAAGTATTATTCACATATTTTCCGGATACAACTGAAATCTGTATAGGGCTCATGGATAGTACGGCAAAGCGTGGGGAGCACCCCATGTCTCCTCGGGAAAGCAGTGGACTGCAACTACATCCGTGGCCCAACATACTTAGAAGTGAGTAAAGGTGTATTATGTCGAATTTGAAGCTCTCTGTAACCATTAATATCTCAATGATTCGTCGTGTTCATGTATAGATTGATGTGGATATCGGCTCATCAACCGTTGCAAACGGAGTTCTGGGTCTCGTCATTGGCGTAATCACATCGTTGGTTGTCGAAATGGCTTTCCTTGTACAGGTAATTTATCGAACAGACCCTTATAATATTATAGGTTTCGTTCAAGTAGTTTGGGTTATTTTTTACAAATCTGGCTTGGTTTCGCAGGCAAATACACCGGAAGAATTGCCAGAGCGGCTTATTGGTGCGGTTCGGGTTTCGCATATAGAGCTCTCATCGGCTATAGTTCCGAATCTGGAGTCAGATTAATAGTGTAAAACTCCTTGAAACCCCTGAGAAATTACCATCAAAATTCATATCTCTTGTGTCACATAAAGTGTGGTCGTTCTTTGGAATATTCACTGCTTCAA